GAGACAGAGGTGTCCTGGTGAGGCAGAGGCATCCCGGTGAGACAGAGGTGTCCGGGTGAAGTGTAGACTCCCCCCAGCAGACTCCCCCCCTAGGGCTTGGCTGTGTGTGTGAGACCGCGGTTTGGAGATGTGCCCGGTTTGTCACTGTCATGTAGGTCTGGCTGAGAGTTTGCACCAGCCGTCCCAGGAGAAGGTGCTGCTTGAGACGCCTGGAAACAAGAACAAAAGTCGCATACCGCCCCCCCGCCCCCCCATGTGTCTGGATGTGTTTGTCTTCTGCGTCTGTGATCACATCACCCAGCAGGGAAAGCGGCTGCTTGGCCCCTTGGGGAGGCCAGAGGATGGTGGGGGGGTAAAGAATATTCTATCACTATCACAGTCGTCCCGCCCTTGTGTCCCTGACACCAGCCTAGGTCCAACAATGGAGAGATTGGTGGGGGGCAGATGGTGGGGGGCAGGCAAACAGGCTGATGAGCCAGTACTGCCTCCACTCCCCTGGCTCTCTGCTAAGCTGAAAGGCTGCGAGGGTCTTGGTTCTGATCCGTTAGGTGCACGTTCAGAGGCTGGCATTTGAAAAACACATAGGTGTAGGCCCAATTCTGGGTGTGTCCCGGGTGCTTCTGCAGGATGGGGGTAGCATGCTGGGAGGCAGGGTGGGGGGCAGTGCGAGGATGGGGGCACAAAGGTGGGATGTGGTGTACAGGTGAGTGAATGTTTTTTGGAAGCCATAACTGTTTTGTGTGGATAAAAAGCTAAACACGCAGTGAATGGCGAGAACACAAACTGGGTGAATCATGATAACTGGCGTACAAAACACGAGAGTAAAATGTCCCTGGGCCCCAGTGTTCAGCGGGATGGGATGGGGGACAGGGACAGGGACAGGGACAGGGAAAGGCACCTGCATGGAACACGGGTGTGTGGCGGGAGAGGAGCCTTCACACGCTGTTCTGACATGCTGCGTGGTCACGTGACTTTTTATGGCTGGTGCCTAATATCCTGTTTCTCATTAGTGCTCTGGGGGCTGCATCCGCCACGCCCCTCACCACGCATCTTTGTTTGTCCCCCCCAGAGGACCAGATCCCGCACGGCTTCCCCTCCATCGACATGGGCCCTCAGCTAAAGGTGGTGGAGCGGACGCGCACGGCTACCATGCTGTGCGCCGCCAGCGGCAACCCTGACCCCGAGATCTTCTGGTTCAAGGACTTTCTGCCCGTGGACATCGGGGGCAGCAACGGCCGCATCAAGCAGCTGCGTTCAGGTAGATAATCGGCCCTGCGCCGGCCCTAGGTGGAGCCACACACCACCATGCAATCAGGAACAGTCTTGTTGGGCAAGGCCCGCGTGTGGAACAGCCCTGTTCTGCACGTCACGAGACCCAACCAGAACAGCGCCGGCGGCGGCAGTCAAAAGGCCAGGCTGACTAGGCTGTGGAGTGAGCGCATGGATCCGTCATTATCCGCGAAGATCAGAGAAAAAAAAAAAAGAGCCGCAGGAGTGAAAGTGCTGCTTTCAGAAATCTCTCATTAAAATATATAAAAACATATATATGTGACACTGGAAACACACACTTGCTGCCCCCCCCACCACAGCCCCTGTTATTCGACAGAGAGGGTGAGCGGTGCTGTGGAAGCTGTCCTCCCGCCCCCGGCTCCTTCGCCGTGGTTTGTTTACACGCCTGTGCAGAGCCAGTCCCACATGCCTCAGCAGAAAGCGTCACGTGTAGCGGCCTCTCAAACTGCACACGCAGACACAACACGCACATCTACCCTCCTCAGCGCACTGTCATCAGCGAGTCCTCCTACAGCTCGACAGCGGTTCTCCATAAACAGCCCGTGCCCACTCTGCGGCCTCAGCGCCCAGTCCCCCCTCAGCATCCCTGTCTGGTCCCAGCGTCCGCGGTGCCACCGCGGGATCGATCGCACCCCTCTCACAGCCCCGGGGCTGATGGGCGTTTGGAGAGTGTGGGGGACAGGGGGCAGTAAGTCCTGCTCGGCTAAAANGGGGCTGATGGGCGTTTGGAGAGTGTGGGGGACAGGGAGCAGTAAGTCCTGCTCGGCTAAAATTCCCCCATTTCATATCCTGATGGTCAAACAGCTGCGTCCCGATGTGGCCTGGCAGTGAAAGGCGGCCCGCTGAGGCCTGGGGCGTTTCCCGCCAAGGGCATTCTCATAAAGACATCCATTGTTCCCCCTCACTGTCACACTGTGTGCCATTTAATTAAATAAACGAGGGATCAGACTAAGCTATCCGTCCTGGCCACTCAGATTTCGCAGAGAGAGCCTTAAAGGGGCGCCATCTTCATACAGACAGTGCCCCTGGCTTTGTGGGATGGACAGCTGCCCCGCAGGACAGGCAGCCCCTCCCCCCATCAGAGGAAAGCTCTCCCGGAGCAGTGCACCCCCCCCCGTACATAGCCCTGCTCCCCACCACCATCTCCGAGCAGCCAGCAGTCGGTTCTGTATGCCAGACTGAATTGACATGGCACCTGCTGTGACCCATTACTGTACCTCCCTCTCCAGCTTCCCTGGGTGAGGCGTGATCCATACCCTACAGTCTGGTCTGCCAGAGACCACCGTGATCCATACCCTACGGTCTGGTCTGCCAGAGACCACCGTGATCCATACCCTACGGTCTTGTCTGCCAGAGACCACCGTGATCCATACCCTACGGTCTGGTCTGCCAGAGACCACCGTGACCTATACCATGCAGTCTGGTACG